AATGGAGAACTAATACTTCCATAATAAAGAATACCATGCAAAATTCATGACCACTAAACCACCACTCCAAAAACTTCTAAAGGACATTGAAAGAATACAACAAAGCCAAAAATGTGAAGACTACATTCCATAATAGAATGAATCCACCAGGCAAGGTGAGCAGTTAAATAGAAGGCAAAGAAAGGGAACCAAAAATCACGAAAATAATACAGCAAAGATAGGCCAATGCACATCAGTTATAGCCATCAGTGTGAATGGTATCTATTCACAAATCAGAAGAACAGATTGGGTACTTCCAGATATGACACAGAGATGCAAGCTGGGCCTGGGGCTTTGTTCCTCCAGTGGGCTCAGAATGAAGCTTACATGGCCCCTGGACCTAGCCGTGCACTGTCCACCCCAGCAGCAGCCACAGCCTCGCCTCAGACTGAGGCTCTGGGCCACGTGGGACAGCAGCATTCTGGGATTCCTACTTGCACTTCTTAGCATTGCCACTCTCCATGAAGCAGTTCCTGGACTTCGGATCACTGAGTGCTTGTGAAAAGACCTCGTTCATGTTTCCTCAGTAAGATTTGACTGTTAGGTTGGCAAATATAATGAAAGAAATGAGTCTCCTTCCAGATAATCTTCTCAGGACACCATCTATTCAATTGGTCCAAAGCTGGTATATCCAGAGTCAGGAACTTCTTGATTTGAAGGGCAACATTGCTGAAGATATTTATGAAGCTTATCTTCCCCAGAAGTGAACAGTCAGCCTTCCCTTATGCAGGATGTCCCTGGAATGCCATCCTCATACTTCACAGATACTGTGATATGGATCGGAAACTGACACAATGCCATCACTCATGTGATGGCCCAGGGTATGATTGAATAAAAAGAGTTTCGGGGTGGATCCTGTCACCATCCAGAAGGTTCAGTCCTTTTTGGATCTATTCTATAAGAGTGACATTTCAATTAGAATGTGACTCAGTCAGCACTCTTTACTGTTTGGGGGAAAAGGAAGTCTATCTCATCAAAAAGGCATTGACACCATGAATCCAAACTATGATATTCTTAAGTTGTTAAAAATGGCTATGAAAATGCTAGGCATCTGTGTGATTTGAATTACATTAACTCACCTGAACCAGAACTCAGAGAACAAATGCAAAATCACTCTTACTGGATGGCCTAAATGAGTGGTTTAGGTACCACCACATGTCTATCACATCATGTTCAAACTTTTCAAGAATGCAGTGAAAGCAACTATGGAACACCATGCCGATAAAGGTGTTTAGTCTCCTATTCAAGTTCATGTCACAGTGGGCAATGAGAATTGCATGGTGAGGATGAGTGACTGAGAAAGGGGTGTCCTTTTGAGGAAAATGACAGACACTTCAACTGGAGGTATTCACCTGCACCCCATCCACTTGTGGCGACTTCCTGAGCAGCACCTCTGGCTCATTTGGTCTATGGATCGCCCATATCACATCTGTATGCACAGTACTTCCAAGGGGACCTGAAGCTGTATTCCCTGGAGGACAATGGCACAGATGCCATTATCTACATTAGGGCTCTGCCAACAGAATCAATGGAGAGATGTCCAGGGTATAACAAAGCTACCTGGAAGCGTGACAACACCAGCCATGAGCTGTTGGCTGGTGTGTTCCCAGCAGAGAGCCAAAGGACATGACCATGACCCATAGTGTCTAATGCACTGGGGACACCTGGAAAGTCCAAATGTGGTGTTGGTGTTAAATTTGCAAGGGATGTCATGAAGACATGGATGAGCAAACACATCATGTGTCATTTTCACAAGAAACTCATTGGGTAGAATATATGGAAACTGAATTCTATTTGTGCCTGTTAAACCTCTAAATGCCTGTTAAATTCTAAATGGACAATAAATATAGGAAAAACTGTTCAACACCTCTTATCATTAGAGAAATGCAAATTAAAACATCACCAAGATTTCAGCTTGCTTCAGAAAATATGGCAATCATCAAGAAACCAAAAATAACAAGCGCTGGTGAGACTATGGTGAAAAAGGAATCCTCCTACATTGTTGGTGGGGATGTATAGTAGTGCAACCATTATGGAAATCAATACGGAGGTTTCTCAAAGAAGTAAAATTAGAAATTCCATATGACTCAGCTATTCTGCTCCTAGGTACTTTCCCCAGAGAACTTAAAATAATATACTACAGTGATACAAGCACACCAGTGATTACAGTAGCTCAATTCATCAAAGCTAAATCCTGGAAACAGCCTGTATCTCCCTCAAGAAATGACTGGATAAATAAAATTTGGTATCTATACATAATGGAATGATACACAGAACTGAAGCAGCAAATATCTGAGATATTTGTAGGAAAATAGATGCACCTGGAAAATATAATTTTGAGTGAATAAAAATAGACACACAGACTTTAATACCCCATGCTATCTCTCACTTCAGTAACTCAAAGTATAAATAAAGGAATAATAAAGGATGGATTGAAGGAGACAGGGGGATGAATCTCTTGCAAATATGCAGTGGACAAAGAGATCAAGAGATCAAGGATGAGGAGCAAGGGAGAGTGAAAAGGTCAATAAATAGAATAAAGATAGGCCAAGTATGGGAACCAAATAACCTCAATGAGTGTAAACAGTATATGCCACAATATGAGCTAAGATTCCTAACATCAACAAGAATGAAAATGAGGAAAGGGGAACAAGAAGATTAGGGAGGTGGGGAGGGAAAGGGATTTTCAAAAGTTGTACTGTGCACATGTACCCATACATCAAAGATAACTGTAAAGTGCATATACCGCAAACATGTACCAATAAAAACTAAATAAATAATCTAAAAATAGAAACTCCATGTGCCCCAAATATTTCCCTTCTAGATATCTTGCAGAAAGAGTTACAAACAACAGATTACAGTCATACGTCTGCACCTATCTGTATAGCAGCACTGCTTAAAACAGCTAAATCTTGGAAACAGCCTATATGTCCATCAATAGATGAATGAATGAAGAAAATATGGTATCTATACATGATGAAATGCTTCTCTGCCATGCAGAAGGTTATATCTCCATCATATGTAGGAAAATAGATGCAGCTGGAGATGAAAAGTTGAGGGAAATCATCAGACACACATCTTGCAGTTTACTCACTGACTCTTTTTCCCATTACTGGTTAGCAAAGCAAGTATTTCATGTGTTTGGTGTTTTATATGTCACAATAATTTATATGTATGTTTCAAAATCATGGTGTACACTGAAAATATATACAGGATTAATTTGTGAACTGTACCTTAATAAAATAGTACACTTGGGAAGACTGATGTTCATACATGGGACCCCTAATTTCTAAGATTGTATCTGTCACACCTTCTGCATCCCCCATGCAGTGATATATGGATCATGGTTTGAGCATGTTCGTGGCTGGCTGTCCATGAGAGACAGGGAAAATGTCCTGGTGGTGAGTTATGAAGATCTGACAAAGGTAACCTGCATTCTGACAGTTGGCACACACCCTCCCATCACCGCCTGCATGCCCTCTGACACTGTCTTTCTCAGAAGATTTTCTTCTAACATGCCTGTCCAAGTTCAGCCCATGAAAATTCACTGAGTGAGATCAACACTCCGGACTTCATTCTGCTCATTCAGGTTCTCCCATAATTATAGTTCATGATTTTCTCAGGTTTTCTTGTTTGTTTCAATTCACAACGTTTAAGAGGATGTTTCAGTGCACTGAGGCAGAGTGATGCTTCCTGGTGGTGGGACAGTTCCTGCGGGCAGGGCTTGTGATGCTGCTGATAACCTGAGGAGTTCCAGAGCTGAGTCCAGTTCTCTGCAATTTCAACTTCCCTGGGAGAGGAGACGGGAAGGCAGGAAGTGAGTTTGTGTGAACAGTCTGAGAGGTGAAGTGCTAGAGGACAGGGAAGCATATCAGATGACTCTGAAGTCTTGAAGGTGGGCACAGGGGAGCTGTTGGACACCAGGAATAACTTCTAGTGATCTCTAGCATGATAGGATGACTGTGGTTGACAGCAGTTAATCATGTATTTCAAAAGACCTACTAGAAAAGAACTTGACTGTTCCCAGGACAAACAAGGTAGGTCTGAGTTGAAAAATCTGATAATTAACCAAACTTCATCATTACACATTGCATATATATTAATGTGCCTTACAGTACTTTAATTACTTTCTAAAGTTACTGTGATTAATATATCTTTGTATATTCAAAGGGTAAAATTTAAAACTACAGATTTTTAAAGAGTGTAAGTGAAAATAGAAGCATGTGACTAGACAATTGGCAATGAGAAAATAACATAGATACAGGATTTACTCTCCAGGAGAGAAACAGAGCTACCCATCACTTCCTCAGGCAGCTTCAGTACAGCCCTCTAGGTTTCATGCATTAATTCTGTCTTTACCAAGAAGCCTTGGATCCTGAGCTAAGCACCCAAAGGTGCATGGTCCCAACCCTCCTGTAATTAATTCTCCTTGTAAATCTCAGAAAGACCTTATCTTTACTTCTTGCCACATTTGTGTCTTCTTGGTTTTCATTGTGTGATCATGCAATAGAATACAGTAACAAGGCAACATCTTCCTTCTTACAAAGACTGATGTTCTTATCAGAATCACTGGGTAATATACATCAAATAGTAATTATTGTGATCACTTATTTTGGGTCTTATGAATGCTTTGTGTGACTCAGACATTATTTATTGGAAGCAGTCATTTTTGGTCTTTGTCAAGTTCTCCCCATGCCTCTCCTTGCTTAAGCCTCTCGTTGTCCATCTGTGCTTCTAAGAGTGGCCATGAAAGTCCCAGGTCCTGTTTCTGAGGTGTGCTATACCCAACCACACTGAGAAGTCCTTCTTATCTTTTCATTATGTACACACTTCAGGCCTTGAAGTTTTCCTTTCTCTCTTTCTTCCTCCTGTGATCTAACTCAAATTTTTCTGCCTCTGGTACATCATGACTGTCTTCCTCTCTCTTCTTCTCCTCCATCTTCAACAACTCCTTTCTTCTATTCTCCCATCCTTCCTCCTCAGACCCTTGCTCTGGCTTTTTCTTCTTTTAGGACCCAAGAAGCACTGTGGAGAAGATCTGTCAATTCTTGGGAAAGAAGTTAAAACCAGAAGAAATAGATTTAGTCCTCAAGTATAGCTCCTATCAATTCATGAAGGAAAACAAGATGTCCAATTTCAGCACAATTCCTGATGAATATTTAGATAAGGGTTTCTCATTTCAAAGAAAAGGTAAGAAGAAATGCTTTGCTTTCACAATTTGTCAGGGTACATGGAGGACATTCCTCTGCTTAGAACAGAATGTGAAAAGTTAGATGTTCAAACATAGGAACTTAAATTCCTTTCCATCTCTGCAACACACCCTAGAAAACAACTTAAAAAGAAGAAAGACTTCTTTTGGCAAATGATTTCAGAGGTATTAGTTCATGGTCTGCTGCTTTTCAGCCTCTACTGAAGCAGAAAAATGGCTGTATAATGACATGGAAGGAAAACATTGCTCACTTCATGGCAGTCAAAAAGCAGACACCAAATCAGAGGAAGGAGTGCTGGCAGGATATGGTCCCTGAGGTCACATGTCCATGCGTGACTCTTTTGAACTGTGAAATTATTGCTCCAACAATCTTCCACTTTAAGTATCTCTTGGACAGTAAACTACAAAATACATTCCTGAAATGCTCCAAGAACTCTTGAACCATTCTGCAGTGCTGCCACCCAGAGGGCCAAGGCTACAGCATATTGAAAAAAGATTCTTCAGGTTTGTTCTCTAAGGCAATTTGCAGGCTAGATTTGGAATGCTTAGAGCCCATGGCCCCTGACTGCTTTTGCATTTCTCTCTTGAGGCTCATGAATATCCGTCCTATGCTTGTTGACCACTGTATTTTTGAAGCAGATAACATGTCTGGTTTCACAGTTTTGCTGCTGGAGAAGAACTGCCATAACCTGCATGGCTGAAGGGTCTACAGAGTAGGAATTGCAGCTGGGGATTAAGAAAAAACAAAGAGATACAGAAGAACAAAGAGAAACAATGCTGGGGCCAGGTGGATCCTTCTTCCTGATGGGAGAAGAGGTCTGGCTGGCAACTGCACTTGATTATTTATAGTGGAGAGGTGAGGGAAGTGCAGGGGAGGTAAAAGGGGCTGGTCTGGGAAGGGGATTTAGCTCAGTGGTTTTGCTGCGTGCTGCGCAAGCAGATGGACCGGAGTTCAATCCTAGGGACCAAAAAAGGGGGGGGGGTGGCTGGTCTGTAATGGGAGCCAGCAGGAGAATAGCTTAGGTCTACAGACTTCACGCTGTGATGGTTTTATGGGGAATGGACATGGGAGAAGACACATCCTCTACTTGGCCAGGCCTTGCTCTGCCATGCCCTCTTGTCACCTGTTCTCCTCAAGTGGAGCCATGCCTCATGCATGGGAGGAGGAAAGTTAGGCCTGGCCATAGTGATCTAGAGCAAAGTGCTCCCAGTGAAGAATACTCTCACAGAATGAATCATACATCTAGTGTGAGCTATGGCTGACTTATGGATACTCAGACGAGATTGAGAACACAAAGTTGATGCTGAATGGGTTAAAATTAGGGAGCTCTTAGGAAGATGTGTGTGAGAGGACATGGATGTAGAAAAGGCTTCAAAGAGAAGTGTTATAATCTGAAAGGCTTCCTCCACCGAGTTTAGATGGAGGCCTTAACTCCAGTTCCTCAGTATGTAACTCTATTTGGATTTCAGATCTATATTTAGAGGCAAATAAGTCAACATGACTGTGTAGAGTTAGCCTTAATCCAATGTGACTCATATCCTACAAGAAGAAAATTGGACACAGATTTATGCATGTGGAGAGAAGACTATGAAAAAATGGTTCCTTTCATGTCAAGAAGGAGGGTCTCCAGAAGAGACCAGTGCTGCTGATGAACTGGCCTCAGAATTCCAGCATCCATGTTGTGTAAAATGATATTTCTCTAAACTACAACTAAAGCACTATCTGACATGCAGAACTGTTCATTCTCAGGCTTTTTCTGTGCATCAGTATTTGGCAGAAATATAAATGCTGTGTTTACATGGGAGGTTGGTGTGAATGGCTGAAAGAACAAGAGAGAGCTGCTTAACAGAAACAGACCTTGGAAGGTAACGACAAAGATCTCTGGCACAGACCAATGAACTGAATGCAACAGAATTGTGTGCAAACATTATTTCATATTTCCTAAGATGATTTCTCCAACAGATGACTCTCCTCAACTTGCGATTTCCTCCAGTTACTCCTGAGATTTGCAATGTGGCACAGAGAGTCCAGGCATAAGTGGAGGAATGATTAGGTCTGTTACCAGGCATCCTGGGACCACTATTGCTAAGCCTGTGATCTGCCCTGATCATAGTTGGTAACTGAATCATCATATCAATTACACAGGGTGTAATTTTTCATACTGTGGACAGTTGGACAGTGGGATATTATTTGCTTTAAAAACTATGATATCAAAATCACCTAGGGCCCAGGATTTAACTCAGTGGTGCTAGGCCTGCCTGGATGCCATGTCCTGACTTTCATCCCCAGTACTGGAAAATACGAAGGAAAAAAATCAGCTAATAACCCTGGAAAGCCATTAAAAGTAAGACCCTTGATGCTGCAAAATGAATGTAGAGCTGCCAGGCTTTAAAAAGACTAGAATTCAAGCAGAGAAGCCTAAGTGTGAAATACTTCACTGGAGAAAGGGGCTAACATTTGAGATTTCTTACACAGGGCAGTCCTGTGCCTTTCTGTTATTCTGGAAGTTGCATACAGTTTTGAGATTAATCGAAAATTAAAGGCATGGCTTATTAAAAGATAATTGTTATTTCCATCATAATATACTGAAAATCTGTGTGAAATATCGACTGGCCTTAATAAGGCTTAATCTGATGGCTTATTTTCATCATTTTAGGGGTTGTTTTCTTGTTAGGTTGCAAGAAAAATGCCCTTATCTCCCCTCAGGGAATGCCTGTACTAAGTGTTCTTAGCAGAATCTTAGCCATGGAAAGCATTCAATCAGTAGAGGTGAAACTGGTTTTAAGGTGAAGTCATAATAATTGTGTCAGTTAGGATTGCATCACTGCAAAAAATTACCTGAAACGGACACCTTCAGAAAGAAAAAGCTGTATGTGGCTCAGGGGCCTGGATGTTAGTCAGTGGCAAAGGACATAGGAACAGACAGAGAGAGAGAGAGAGCCAGAGAGAGAGAGAGACAGAGAGAGAGACACAGAGAGAGAGAGAGAGGGAGAATTTTCAAGCTCATGAAGGGCACACTACCAGTGACCTAATCGCTTTCCAAAATGTTCTACACCTAAATGTTTCACCAGCTCTTAGGAGCACCAAGTCTCACAACAAAGTTTTTAACCTAAATTTGGAGGATACTTTCAAAGCATTACAACAGTAATTTTTGGTTTAGCCAATTATTAGGTGTGTCTATTTTTATTCTAGAGGGTAGTGCTTGGCACAGATTAAGAATTCTATGGCAGTTTGTCACAGTTGTTGACTGCACAGATAATTAATAACAATTTATCCATTATTAAATTAGTTTAAAGAACAGTAATCAACATGTGGTAGTGATTTATCAGCTAACTATTGGAAATTTTGAAGCTTCTAATAGTACATTGGTGAATCTCTTACTTCTGACAACAAGATCTAATCAACTTTGTTCAAAACTTGGTGCCATTGGATCAATAGGGCTTCTGTATTCAGAGACAACAAGAAACGTAGAATGTAGAAGGATTTGTCCAGTCTGTCATTATAAGTAATAATATTGGGCGCAACTTATAAAACAATGTCTTCAAACCAAGATACACGAGTTGAATTGTCTACACTCAAGTATTGACATGTGGAGGTTGAAGTCCCCAGAACCTCTGAATGTAATAGCATTTGGTCAGAGGTTTTACAGAGGTAATTAGGCTAAAATGATGCTAAAATTTCGGGTCTTAGCCTAATGGGAATGGTGTTTTTTAAAAAGGAAATTAGGGCAGAGACACAGAGGAAAGACAATGTGAAGACTTGGAACAAGATAGCCAACTGCAAGCCAAGGAGACAGGCCTACAACATGTTCTACCCCAGCACCCTCATAAAAGCCCAGCATTCCCAACACCACAAGCTAAGGATTTCCAGCCTCCGGAACTGTGCGAATTATTTCTATTCCTGAAATCACCCACCCAGTCTGTAATGCCTAGTTATGACAGCCCCAGAGTACCGATATAAAAGTTTTAGAAAGATTTCTTAAGAGTCAAGTAGAAATACAAAAAAAGAAATTTACATCTACAGGACACGCAGGCTTAGGAATTATTCATACTCAGGAATTGAGATGCCTATACAGAAACACTGCACATTGCAGTGATAATCTATTATGTTAACCCACGTGACAGATGCTGTTGACTTGGTGCAAGCCAGCAGAAACAGACATGGTGAGAAGGAAGAAATTCTGAATATGTTAAAAGGTAGATCCAGTGTTGTGGATGGTGGAGTCTGTACAGGATGGGCTGGGAGAGAGCGGGAGGGAAACAAGTTGTTTCTGTGCAGGCAGAAGTGTAAATACAGACACGCGGGCACAGAAAGGCTCTCCATGGCCATTGGCTCTCAACTGGTTCTTCATCTATGCCAACTACTTCCTGAATGTCAGGTGGATGCTAGGACTTGGTAAAAGTGATGTGCTGAAGTCTTAGGCACCATCACTAGATCTGATCTCAGGCTCTGTGTTCTGTTTTTCAGGAGTCGCTGGGGACTGGAAGAATCACTTCACTGTAGCCCAAGCTGAAGCATTTGATGAAATATATCAGAAGAAGATGGCAGGCTTTCCTCCAAAGCTGTTTCCATGGGAATAATGTTGAAAATGTCTAGATGTTCTATGGATACTGATATCTGTTTTCCTGACTTTCTATTTCTGCATGCCAGGGAAGTCACAGCATCAAACCTATTATTTCATTGTCAAGTCTTGAATGATCAAATCTTCACATTTTTGATGACCTACTTGTTACAAATTCCCTGTCTACCCTATTCATTGCCTAGTATCTACGCTTTAGAAATACTTCATAATATTCATATATATACTACACTACAGTAAAAATATAAAAATTATCCCAAATTGTGTCAAATTTTTGTAAAGGCAGGTAAGTCTATTTTTGAACACTTGCACCTCCAGAAATCATTACTATTCTACCTCAAGTATTATACTTTCTAATCTACCTTTATTTTTTTCCTTTGTAATGTGTCACCCTAAATAATAAGTAATTTAATTAAAAGGCAGATAGTGGAATGTATTGGTAAACTTTCATTTTTCTTCACTGCTTTTATTTAGTGTTTATTCATGCTGATACATGCAGAATAGTTCAGAATTGTATTGAGATGTTAGGATTTAGTTCCAACTCTCCAGTGAATGAATGAGTTTATTACTCGTGGATTTTCCCCCATTAAAACACTAATGTGGTGGGTATGATGCAAACAGAAGGGCCAATTTGCCAAGGTCATGCATCTAGAAGAGAACTTCACCATTCACTCATTGGACTCCTGAGGAAGTGTTGCAAATTTTTCATCAGTATTTTCATACCAAGTAACACTCCTATCAAGAAAGCATGAAAAAGGCTCTAACTCTTTCTGAATATAAACAGTTCCAAGAGTTTATTTTTCCAAAATCAAAAGTCCAAATATCTCACTGTGTAAAAATTTGCATTTCCCCCCATAACTGCTGCTTTTCTTCACTAGCACTAACCACACTCATAGTCCCTCAACACCTTTGCAAATGTTCACAGACCACTTGACATTCCTGCTATATCAATTTTGCATTTGTATCTGGGCAATTTTGTAGGCATATATTTATGTTTTTAGTATATTTTAGATAAATTCTGATTGATAATCTTTTCAGGGTTTTATGCATCAAAAACACATTTTCCTCTTTGCTTCTTTTGTTTCCATGGATTTTGTATTTTAATTTTTTTATTTTGTGTGTTTTTGCAATATGTAATAGTTACATTCATTCTGAGGAATTGGTAGATGTATATAC